CTATAGTATTAGGCCAATGAATAAACCCTACAACGGCCTCTAAGTGTTCAAGTGAAAGAAAGGGTTGCACATCCCTCACTTTAAATCAATAGCTAGAAATGATTAAGCTTGGGGAGAAAGCCAAAACAGGCTGAAAACTAGGCCCCTTGTGCCAGACACTCAAGTCGTGATTGCAAAGAGTTCATGAGAGAAATTACAAGCACTACTCCAGTAAACACATAAATGGTAAGAAAGTGAAACAGCCTCATTGCTGATATAGAGAAAGTGGAGTGGTCTGGATAAAAGATCAAACCAGCCACAACATTCCCTTAAGCCAAAGCCTAATGCAGTGCAAGGCCCTAAGTCTCCTCAGTACTGTGAAGGCTGAGCGGTGAGACTTGGAGAAGCTGCAGAAAAAAGAGTTGGAAGCCAGCAGAAGCCGGTTCATGAGGTTTAAGAAGCCATCTCCCTAACATCAAAGTGCAGGATGAAGCAGCAAGTGCTGATGGAGAAGCTGCAGCAAGTTCTCCTGAAGATCCAGCTAAGATCATTCATGAAGGTGGCTACACTGAACAATAGATTTTTAATGTAGATGAAACAGCTTTCTACTGGAAGATGATATCATCTAGGACTTTCATAGCCAGAGAGAAGTCAGTGCCTGGCTTCAAAGAACAGGCTGACTTTCTTGTTAGGGGCTAATGCCCCTGGTGACTTTCACTTGAAACCAATGCTCATTTACCATGCTGAAAATCCTAGAGCCCTTAAGGACTCTGTTAAATCTACTCTGCCTGTGCTCTAACACAACATCCATTCTGTGGCCCATGGATCAAGGAGTACTTTTGACTTTCAAATCTTTTTTTTTTTTTTTAATATTTTATTTATTTATTTGAGAGAGAGAATGAGAGAGAGCACATGAGAGGGGGGAGGGTCAGAGGGAGAAGAAGACTCCCCGCCGAGTAGGGAGCCCGATGCGGGACTCGATCCAGGGACTCCAGGATCATGACCTGAGCCGAAGGCAGACGCTCAACCAACTGAGCCACCCAGGCGCCCTTGACTTTCAAATCTTATTTAAGAAATACACTTCATAAAGCTATAGTTGCCATAGATAGTAAGTGATTCCTCTGATGAATGTGAGCAAAGTAAATTAAAAACTTTCTGGAAAGGATTCACCATTCCAGATGCCATTAGGAACATTCACAATTTATGGGAAGATGTCTGAATATCAACATTAACAAGTTTGGTAGAAGTTGGTTCCAACTCTCAAGGATGACTGTGAGGAGTTCAAGACTTCAGTGGAGCAAGTAACTGCAGATGTGATGGGAATAGCGAGAGAACTACAACTCGAGGTGGAGCCTGAATGGGACCGAAATGCTACAATCTCATGGTAAAATTTGAAGGGATGAGGAGTTGCTTCTCATGGATGAGCAAAGAAAGTGATTTCTTGAGATGGAATCTACTTCTGGTGAAGATGCTGTGAATATAGTTGAAATGACCAATAAAGAATTTACAGTGTTAGATAAACTTAATTGATAAAGCAGGGGCAGGGTTTGAGAACAGCGACTCCCAATTTTGAAAGTTCTACTGCGGATAAAATGCTAACGAACAGAATCACACACTACAGAGAAATCATTCATGAACGGTGTAAGACAGGTATAAAGTGTATTACAGGTACTCTATTAGGTAGAGAGCCTAGGCCTTCAAGCTGACACAAGAGAGAGAAAAATCAACTTATTACTAAATAATTCCAAAGTGTTATTTATGTTAAAGAGAAAAGATCAAGTATTATGTGTACAGCTTCCAGAACAGGCTCCAAGAGCACAGAAAGCTTGCCGGGAAATGAGAGAACAGATGTAACGATGAAGGAAGCTTGAAGGAATGGACTTCAAACCTGGACCAGGAGAGAAAAAAATCCCATACCCATGAGTAGTACTCCACATTCCCTTTTCCCCCAGCCCCTGGAGACCATTAATCTACTTTCCATCTCAATGAATTTCCCTATTCTGGACATTTCATATAAATGAATTGATACAATATGTGTCTAGCTTCTTTCACTTAGCATCATGTTTTCAAGGTTCATCCATGTTGTAGCAGGTATCAGTACTTCATTCCTCTTTATGGTCAAATAATATTCCATTGTATGGATATACCACATTTTGCCTTCAAGACAATGTTACCTGAAATCTTGATAATTCATTCCCCGTCAAATAAAATGTTCCTATTACGTGGAAATTTTTATAAATGGATAAGAAATAGTGTTTGTTTGTTTTTTCCTTTAAAGAAACAGCCTTAAGACTAGCAGGATTTCTGTTCATTTCCATGGTGGCATCCTCAGGATATATGCAGAAATAGGATGGGCAATATCATAAACATGAGTCAGTGTTTAGGACCTCACAGCATCTATCCCCCTCCCCACTCATTGAGATGCCTCTCACACAAAGTCATAAAAACTCCACTATCTTAACTATTAAGCAAGGTTTTATATAAGTTGTTAAATCACATCTAAGGTGTATTTAATGTCATACATAAATCATTTAGATGTGATATTTCTAGTTATAGTTATACCCTAAGGTAATCTCTCATTTTATAAAACTGAAATACTGAATTACTGAACAGTAAGTATTTTCCATTCTACACACATTTTAAGGACCTTTTTAGGTAAAAGGAAAGCAAACCCTTAACTAATAAGTAGGTAACAATCTTTAGTTACAAATATTATGGACGTTTTCTTTTTGTTTTGAAGACAGGTTGGTTTTCTGAGGTGTAATTTGTTTTAACTCCATGATTTTCATAACACTTTTATGTTGGAAGGAGCAAGTTGTAACTTCAAATGGAAATATGGTTCCTTTTTTTTTTTTTTTACTTTTTTTATTACAAAGTATTATTATTTTTTATTAACATATAATGTATTATTTGTTTCAAGGGTACAGGTCTGTGATTCATCAGTCTTACACAATTCCTAACAGCTGTTTCTGCTGTGCTAAAAATATCTTCTTTCCTATATGATTTTAAAAGTTTCAGGTTCTTTCTCAACTAATAACATAAGGGGAAAAAGAAGTTCAAAATGTTCCTTTTTTTCATCATAACTGGACGTTTACGATCAAGTGCAAAACATGAAAGGATTTTTTAAAGAGAAGAATGGGAAAGGGGAGTATTTGTTTATCTATGTATCTAACATTGTGTGAAAGGGCTTACAAATTGTTTTATTTAATTCTCCCAAAACATAAGGTAGATATAATCTACACAGAGGAAGCAGGTTCAGAGAAGTTCAATAAGTGATACAGCAGCTAAAGAACACAATCCGGATTCCTTTCAAAGTCAACTTCTTCCTACCATATACACAGGCTGCTTGTTCCTACTGCTTGCTGAGCTGCTTTGCTGAGAACTATTGGGGGAAATCACTTTCTTATTTTTAACCTACGAGACCACTTGTCTTTTTTGCTCATTCAAAATTTTGTATTTCTCAAATTTAAATTGGTATCACTGTATTTATTATTTATTTATACTTATTGGACACACATCTCATTCTTCTCTTTTCTTTAATGTTAACTTGCTGTTTTTACCCTCTTCTGTTCTTATCATTAAAGCATTACATTATTTATGAAATGTATTACTTTGTAATGAACAAGGTTGCAATTTTATAGGAACCAAAGGCCAATTACAATGATTTTATCAATCTACTTAATTCTAAGATAGACAAGGAAACATGATTCTTAAACGTTTTGTGACATACAGAAGCCTGGACATGGAGTCAGGAAACCTGGCTCAAACCTTTGTACATCCAATGACTAATCACCTTTGACTCAAGGCATCACTTTAAATTTTCTGCATTTCTGCGTCAATACGATCTTAACTATACTCTCCCAGAGAAACAGAATGATGAGTAGTAGTACATGTGAAGGTATTATAGACTCTTACCAGGACGGTAAAAGTTCAGTTACCATTACTTTAGAATACTAGAAAAACATCAGTGTAATTTGTAGATAGGTTTTAACAATACTAATCATACCTGTATACAATTGACAACAATCATTATTTTAATAACTTTCTTCTACACTTTAAGACACAGGGGAAAATGCCTTATTAATTCTCATTTCTTAGAACATCTCTGGTGTAGACCAGAGGGTGTATCCATTGGCAAATGGATTACTGAGGCATTTATATGAAAGCAGGTACACAGAGAAGACAATATCATGTAGTGGTAAGAGCTCGGACTCTGGGATCAGAAAAGCTGGGTTCTAAATCCTGTTCACTGCCTAGCCCCTGTGTCACCATGGGCTCCTGATGGCCTCAGTTTCATCTCTAAAATTAGGGATGATAATCCTATTTGCCTCACAAGATTGTTGCAGAGATAAAATGAGAATGCACCACAGATACTCTTTGCAATGCCTGGCTTATAGTCCAGCCCTCAACAAATGTTAGCTATTATTATTATGAGCAAGAAGACAAATCTTTAGGATTCATGAAATTCTTAAAGTTTTATCTTGCACTAATATCATGAAGGTTAAGTGATTAGCCCAAGTGATTTACCTAGGAAAAATTACACAAAAATTAAACTGCAAGCAGTCATTGGTTTTATAAAAATATGTTGTAATTTACATACAAAATGACTCATAGTAAGATTTAAAAAAAAATAAACTTAAGTAACTGAAATGATTTAATGTAATGATTTAATAAAAACTTAATACAGGGATGCCTGAATGGCTCAGTCAGTTAAACATATGACTCAGTTTCGGCTAAGGTCATGATCCCAAGCGTCATGGGATTGAGCCCCACGTCAGGCTCAGCGCTCAGTGCAGAGTCTGCTCAAGATTCTCTCTCTCTCTCCCTCTCCCTTTGCCCCTCCCCCTGCTCTCACGTGTGCATGCTCTAAAAATAAACAAAATCTTAAAAAAAAACAACCCATACATTTCTGGAAAGGTCTTTTCTTGAACAAAACTAGGCAAAATAGCTTCTGCATTTCATATCATAGTAAGTGTGGAAAAAGCTTAACTATAGCTTAGCAGTACCATTATAATACATACCAGTCCATCTGTTAGCAGCTTCTTTGGCTACTTTATTTGCTTGACCTGAAAAAAATATATATATAAATAATCATATTCATCTATTTATAGACTCATTTTTTACATGAACAAAAGGTTATACAAATAGTTTACGTAAAAAGCTCAAATAGTGACATATTGTATCCAACAATCCTGTTCAACTTCCCAAAGAAATTTTGGTTTCAATTATATTAGTCATGAATAGTCAATGTAAACAATTTCCCTTTCCTAAATGTCCATTATTACTGTACTTGTTCCTTTAAAGATAAGTGTGAGATGTGTTTCTCAAATAATTTACAAAATCAAGAGGATACAATAATTTAAGTTTAACGATAAGAATTTGAGTATATAGATTATAGCAAACCTGACCTTAAAAAAATTTATATTATACATCTTGCTATTAAATGTATCTATATCTATGTCTTTCAAGTTAATCTACATAGCACATTAACAGTGCCATGATCAACTGAGCGTAAATACTATTTATTATGATGGCATTTATTTATTGAAAGATAATTTATATACTACAGAATTCACCATATTAAAGTGTATAATTCAGAAGATTTTAGAACAGGGTTGTAAAACCATCACCACTACCTAATTCCAGAACATTCTCATCACCCAAAAGAAAATCCCATACCCATGAGTAGTACTCCACATTCCCTTTTCCCCCAGCCCCTGGAGACCATTAATCTACTTTCCATTTCAATGAATTTCCCTATTCTGGACATTTCATATAAATGAATTGATACAATATGTGTCTAGCTTCTTTCACTTAGCATCATGTTTTCAAGGTTCATCCATGTTGTAGCAGGTATCAATACTTCATTCCTTTTAATGGTCAAATAGTATTCCATCATATGGATATACGACATTTTGTTTAGTCATTCAACAGTTGATGGACATTTGGGTTGTTTATTGCTAATATGAATAATTTAATAATTTTTGTGTGAACATTTTTTTTAATTCTCTTGGATATATACCTAGGAGTGGAGTTGCTGGCTCATATTGTAACTCTATGCATAACATTTTGGGGAAGACATAAATTGTCTTCCAAAGGGGCTATATCATTTTAACAATACCACCAGCAAACTAAGAGTTCCAATTTTTCCACCTCCTCACCAACAATTATTTTCCATTCTTTTTATTATAGCCATCCTATGCATTGTGAAGTAGTATCTCATTTTGGTTTTGATTTGCATTTCCCTAATAACTAATGATGTTGAGCATCTTTTCCTATGCTTATTGACCATTTGCATATTTTCCTTGGAAAAACTAATACTTTGCCCATGTTTAAATTGGGTTTTCAAAAATTGTTCAGTTGTAATTTTTAAAAATATATACATTTTGGATATTGGACACTTGTCAGATACAGGATTTACAAATATTTTCTCCTGTGGGTTTTCTTTTCACTTTCTTGGTAAGGTACCTTGATACACAAAATTTGTTAATTTTAATGAAGTCATATTGATCTGTTTTTTCTGTTTGTTTGTTTGAGCTTTTGGTGTCCTATCCAAGAAACTGCTGCCTAATCCAAGGATACAGAGATATATACTTATATTTTCTTCTAAGAATTTTATAGTTTCTTATATTTAGTTCTTTGATCTGAGTTAGTTTTTGTATATGGTCTGAGATGGGAGTCCAGTTGGATTCATTTGCATGTGATAACCAGTTATACCCAGCACCATTAGTTGAGAACACTATTTTCTCCTAATTAAACAGTCTTGGCACCATTGGTCTTAAAAATCAATTGGTTTTACTTCTGGACTTTCACTTCTATTTCTTTAACCAGCATGTCTATTCTTTTTTTTTTTTTAAGTAATCTCTATACCCAATGTGGGGCTTGAACTCATGACCCCAAGATCAAGAGTCATGTGCTCTTCTGACTGAGCTAGCCAGGTGCCCCTGCATGTCTATTCTTATACTAGCACCACACTGTCTTGATTATTGTAGCTTTGTAGGCAGTTTTGAAATTGGAAAATTTGAGTCTTCCAACTTTACTGTTTTCTTTCAAGATTTCTTTTTAAAGATTTATTTATATATTTGAGAGAGAAAGAGAGAGAGAGCGTATGCACATGCACGCTGAGGGGGAGGGGTGCAGAAGGAGAGGGAGAGTGAAACTTAAGCAGACTTGGAGCTGAGCACAGAGCCCAACACAGGGATCAATCTCACAACCCTGAGATCACGACCTGAGCCAAAACCAAGTGTTGGTCGCTTAACTGACTGCACCACCCAGGCATCCCTCTTTCAAGATTCTTTTGGCTATTCTGGGTCCTTTGCATTTTCATATGAATTTTAGGATCAACTTACCAATTCCTACCAAAAAGCAGTTAGAAGTTTGATAGGTTTTACATTGAATCTGTAGATCAATTTGAGGAGTATTTCCATCTTAACAATATTAAGCCTTTCTATAAATACAGAATGTCTGTTCATAGAGGTCTTTAGTTTCATTCAATGTTTGTAGTTTTCAGTATAAGTTTTGCACTTCCTTGACTAATTTTATTCTTAAGTATTTCCTTCATTTGTAAATACTTTTCTTAATCTCATTTTCAGATTGTTCACTGTTAACATATAAGATACATGTTATTTTTGTATATTGATTTTTGTATCCTACAACCTGCTGACCTCACTTAATACTTAATGTGGATGTCTTTTCTCTTTTTTGCCTAATTGCCCTGGCTTGAACTTCCAGTACAATGTTGAATAGAAGTGGTAAGGGAGGTCATCCTTGAGGAAAGCATATAGCCTTTTACCATTCAATATGATGTAAGCTGTAGATTTATTATAGATGCCCTTTTATAAATTGAGGAAGTTCACTTCTTTTCCTAGTTTGTTGAGTATTTGTATCATGAAAGGGTATTGGATTTTGTCAAAATTTTTTCTTTGTCTAATGAGACAAACATGCTGTTACTGTCACAAATTATTTTATATATTGTGTGCCCAACAAAATAGCTTATCATTATTGCTTTATGCAGCTGTATTTTAAATAAAATAGGAGAACCACAAGGAGATACAAACAAAAATACATATATACTGTCTTTTATATTTACCTATGAAGCAGCCTTCACCAGTGTGCTTTATTTTTTCATGTTACTGTCTAGTGTCCTTTCACTTCAATGAGAAAGACTCCCATATTTTTTTAGGGCAGGTCTGCTAGTGACAAACTCTGTTGTTTACCTGGGAATATCTTACTTTGTCCTTCCTTTTTTAAGGAAAATATTTCTGGATACAGAATTCTTGGTGGACAGTTATTTTCCCCCCTTCACTTTGAATACATCATCCCAATGTCTTTGGCTTCTATGGCTTCTAATAAAAAACAAATTGTTAATCTGATTGAAAATTCCCTGTGTATGATGAGTCACCTCCTTCTTGTTGCTTTCTAGAGTCTCTGTTTATCTTTCGACAAGTTGATTATGATGAGTCTATATGTGGATCTTTTTGAGGTTGTCCTAAATTGGAGTTTGTTAAGTTTTTTCTATGTATAGATTGTTTTTCATCAAATTTGAAAAGGGTTCAGCTTTCTTCTTTTTTTAATATTCTTTTGGTCCCATTCTCTCCCCTCTCCTTCTGGGGACTTCCTTTATGTATATGTTGGCACTCTTGATGCTGTGCCACAGGTCTCTTGAGACTCTGTTGGTATTTCTTCATTCTTTTTTCTTTCTGTTCCTCAGATTGAATTATCTCTGTTGAACTATCTCCAAGTCACCAATTCTTTCTTTTGCCTGCTCAAATTGGCTGTTAATCCCGAGTGAAATTTTCGTTTCAGTTATGGTTTTCAACTCCAGCATTTCATTTGGTTCCTTTTTAATAATTTCCGTATCTTTGCCGATACTTTCTACTTGGTGAGTTTTCATTCTCAGGCTTTCCTTCAGTTCTTTAGACATGTTTTTCTTTAGCTCTTTTAACATATTTAAAATACCTGACTGAAATTCTGGGCCTAGCAAGTCCAACATCATGTGCATGAACCATACTTTCTTTGTATATCTTGCAATTTTTTTGTTGAAAGTTGGACATTTTAAGTAATATGATGTGGCGACTCTGGAAATCACATACTTCCCCCCCTTCCCAGGGTTGTTGTTTTTGGTACTTGTTGCTATTGTTTGTTTAGTGATTTCTCTGAACTAATTCTGTAAAGTCTGTATTCTTTGTTATGTGTGGCTACTAAAGTCTCTAGTTTGCTTACCAGGCATACTACAAGCCAGATCAAATAAGGACAATCCTTCCTATTCGTGGCTTTCAGAAAACCACCAAAGATGTCAAATAGTGACAATTTGGGGGAAACGAGGGTCTTAAAGAGCTCCAGCTCCATTTTACTCCCTCTGATACCAGGAACGCATGGCTGTTGTTTTTCAAGATTACTGCTGAGCTAGAGAGTAGGGGATGAGAATAGGACAAACTAAAACACCATAAAGCTTATTATTCTTGCTGAGATTCAGCCATTTTTTCTTGAATAGGTAAATCACTGGTTAGTTTCTAGAATTCTGGAAAAGTTGTGACAATTTTTGGCAGCTTTCATGAAGGATACATTTTCAAAGGTCCTTACTCCATCATTTTCACTGTCATCCTAGCATTTCTAAGAAAATTTCTTAAGTACTTCTAAGATTTACTTTCAAGTATTTTTGTAGGAATTCAATTTTTACTACAACTTATTTTATCTGTTCTCACTTAAGTAATGGTCAGAGTAGCTAAAATTAAATTTTATTTTTTATACATTATTGCTTTGACTTCTCATTTCTTAGATATTTGCAACCAATCTTGCTAAAACTTATTTGATGTAGATGTCAATAAGTCATCCAGCATGATGAAATATAAATATTTCCTGCAAGAATTATTGAGAAATAAGTAAAAGATTATACATAGCTATGTCTACATGAATATAAAGGTTGCAGCTCTTATCAGAGGAACTGTTACAAAATAAACCATGACAGACTTAGAAATTAGTCTGATTGTTGTAACATGGGTGCTACAGCCACACTATTAAGAACCAAATCTTATTAAAATCAATTTGTGAAACTCATAATCCTTTAATCCAGTATAATCTGTTCTGCAATAACATGATAGCCAAAATCCTATGAAACCCCTCATTATCAAAACGCATGTTTTAAAAACAACAATCTCTTTGGGAAAAGGAAATAATCTCATGTGGGAGAATAGAGGTTAAAATCTAAAAAAAATTCTCTAGTTTTAGTAATAAGGAGATCACTGCCATTTACTACTTAAATGTTTAAATTTCTTGAATCTGTGGGTTTATAATTTACATCAAATTTGAAAAAAAAATAGCCTTCATTTCTTCTGACAGTTATTTCTTCAAACATTTTTCAGGCCTGGACACATGTACACACACACACCCACTCACACACACATACCCCACCCCAAGCATACACTCCTTTTGGGACTTTGATTACAAATATATTAGGTCATTTGAAGTTGTCCTACATGTCATGGATGCTATACTCATTTAAAAAATTTATTTTTCCTCTCCAGTTTCATTTTGGATAGTTTCTACTGCTATGTCTTCAAATACACTAATCCTTTTTCCTGCAGTTTAATCTGCTATTAATTCAGTCCAGTGTATTTTTCATTTCAGACACTGTAGTGTTCAACTCCAGAAGTTTAACATGAATCTTTTTTTTGTATCTTCCATGTTTCTACTTAACTTTTTGAACATACACTTTTAAAAAAAAAAATTTTTTTTTTAAAGATTTTATTTATTTATTTGAGAGAGAGAATGAGAGACAGAGAGCATGAGAGGGAGGAGGGTCAGAGGGAAAAGCAGACTCCCCGCCCAGCAGGGAGCCCGATGCGGGACTCGATCCCAGGACTCCAGGATCATGACCTGAGCCGAAGGCAGTCGTTTAACCAACTGAGCCACCCAGGCGCCCGAACATACACTTTTTAAAAAAGACTTACTCATCTATTTTAGAGAGAGAGAGAATGCAAGCAGGGAGTGGGGGAAGGTCAGAGGGAGAGAATCCCCAAGCAGACTCCCCACTGAGCACAGAGCCCTGATGCAGGGCTCCATCTCACAACCCATGAGATCACAACCTGAGCCAAAACCAACAGTCAGATGCCCAACTGACTCAGCCACCTAGGTGCCCCTATATGATACATTCGTAATAGCTTTTAATGTTATTGTCTTCTAATTCTACTATCTGTGTCAGTTATGGGTCAGTTTTGACTGAAGGATTATTGTTTTCACTAAGGAACATCTTTTCCTACTTCTTTGCATGCCTGGTTATCTTTCATTATATGCTAGACATTATGAATTTTATTTTGTTGGGTGCTGAGTATGTTTGTATTTCTAGAAATATTCTTTAGCTTTGTTCTGAGATGCATTTAAGTTACTTTGCAATAGTTTGATGTTTTCAAGACTTGGCTGTTATGGTTTGTTAGATGGATGGAAAACAAAGCTCAGTCTATGGCTAATTAGTGCTTGCCAAGTGAGGCAAGGTGTTCTTGAGCGCTCCACCTAATGCCTTGTGAATTATACATTCTTCCAATCGGCCTGGTGAGAACAGGCCTTATTCTTGGTCCTGTGTGAGTGCCGGGTACTTCTTCCCTCTAATTCTCTGAAATTGTTCTTTCCCCAGCTTTTGGTAGTTACTTCACCTGCATTCACCGAATACTTGAGGTGAACCCTCTGTAGATACCCAGGGATCTCTTTCTGTATAACTTTTCCTCTCTAGTATGCTGTCCTGTGAACTCTAGCCACACTGGTCTCCCTGATTCTCAGTTCCATTTGCAGGGCTCTGACTAGGTTCTCCTTCCTTGTGCCACAGCCTGGAAATGCAATAAAATAAGCCGACACAATTTTAAGACTTACTTTGTCTATTTTCTTTCTCTAAGAATCACTGTCCTTTATTGTCTGATATCACGTAACTTAAAAACCTATTTCATATATTTTGTGTGTTTTCAGGTGGCAGAATAAATCCCGTCTGTTACTACTCTATCTTGCCTGGAAGTAGAACTGTCACATTTGAATAAAAGTTTGTTAGCTGTTTTGAATTTTAAAACAGAGGAATTGGACATTTCTCTATAAAAGTATGAACTGAAGTTAGTCTAAAATTCTTTTTACAGGTGTACAGGCTTTAATACGATTTTTTTTCTTCTGATTATAGTTTGGTAGCTTTCCACAGAAAAAAACATCCTACCTTCACATCTAAAATATATTTAGGGAATAACGGAATTATCCTACATAACTGCTGTCCATTAAATAAGTTGTAATTCTCTATAATTAATGTATTTTATTAAAATAGATAATATTTTTAATGGAGTGAAATAAAAATAATACAAAGCCAGGAAGGAAGGACCCTTATTCTCTCATTCCCCTATAAAGATCAGAAATGCACAATGTAAAAATGTCAAAAATGAATACACATGTAATGAATTCATCATTATAAAATTTTACAGGATCCAAACACAGATCTTATGTGACTACATAATTAAATACAAAAAGATAACCTAGGTCTGATGTTGATAAAGAATGATAAAGTTTCTTAACTCACTGTTATCCAGAAAACATTTTCTTCTCATTGACTTAGACCTCATAGCCTGCATAATACTCATACACATTGACATGTTTTCCTTAGGTTGAAAAATAAATTACCAACCATAAAAGTTAAGATTGAGAACAGAGGTCAGGCAACCAGTATAAGTTACAGTTGGAACTTCCTCCTCAACTATGTTATGCTACCCTCCAGAGAATTCATCATCACTTATATACCCTGAAATTTCTTCCATCAAGTTTCATCACCTTTCTAAGAGGTGAGGAAATTGCCAAAATTGCTGCTTGATTCAGAGATACAAGAATAGCAACATCTGAAATTACATGCCTGAAATAAGTTTCCCCTCTTCATGAACTATTCTGGCACAATTCTCTACCCTTGTGGATTTTCTGCACCTCAAGATGATCCATGGGCTTAGGATCACCATCAGTATAGGTCAGAGTGGTTTTGTAAGACTAAATAAGTTTTAGTGATTCCTGAGTGGACAGAAGTAATCAAAATTATGAAAAGGATTGTAAAAATAGGAGGTCACAAGTAGAGGTGATCTCAGTCAGGGTCATGTCTCCAGGGAAAGAGCAATGGCAAAATAATGGGGACAACAAAGTAGAAAAGGAGAAGACTTGATTGGGTATGGCTAGGAGTTGTAGGTCCTTGAAAGAAAAGAGAATGAAATTGGGTAAGCAAAGAATTGGTATCATCAAGGAAAAAGTCCCCTAACACACAAAACTGAAATTATGAAGGAAGGCAGAACCAAATAAGAGTAATATATGAAGGACCAGATTTGATAACTGCGAAAACAGAATTTTTATGATGAACAGCTAGAGGGCACAGCCACGCTGATCCTAAAACTAAATTACCTGAAGGTATTAAATCTGGGGAAGAAAACTGTTCTCAAAGTTTCTTTCATGACACATTTGATGTCTTCTTTAACAAGCAGCATGCATTTCCTTTTAAAGACGATTCATGAGCAGGCCTAGCCTTCTCATAGTAACCTCCTACCATGTCTCTTGTTGCTTTGAGGTGCTCGCGTTCAAGGAGGGTCATTTGATATTAGTTAAAACTTCAAGACTGATTAAAGTGGTTCATTTTGTAGCAGATTCGGCTAGCACTTTATTCTGCAGGATGATGATAAATGAATTAATCTGTGGGCAGCATGAAAGAGCGAACATGTCTCTCTAAGTACTTGATTTACAGAAAATGACTGGCTCAGGGGAAGAGAGGCTATTCTGTCCCCACCTCTTTTTGAAAATCGCCCTGGGTAATCGGCAGAACCAGGGCCAATAGACACCATCATCTAGACTGTGGACTACACGTACGTGATTAATGCCTCCTGCAGATGTGCAAAGCGGCGACCTGTCTCCAAAATTAAGTTTAACTTTAGATTGCACCAACTGAACTGCTTAAATATTTTTTAATTGCAAAGACTACGATCAGGGACAATTTAATTGTAGTTAAATTATTCTCAAGCTAATTTTAAAGTACCAAATATTTTCGATTTCTCTCAAAGCCTTCAATCACATACTATCAGTTTTTTTTTGTTTTTTTTTTTTAGAAACGCTTCACTAGGTAAAGTTCCCTAAATGAGAAGACAGGCTAAGACAGAAAAATGGGATGAAAGTTATACATATTTTCCTAAGCAATTACATGCAGTGTCCTTATAATATACTCTTTCACTTCCTTAAATATTCAGATTTCCTTCTTTACATAAATATATAAAAATTATTCAAAATAAAGCTTTGGAGATTAGTTTTAAAGTAGGAGAAAACATTACTGGTATATTCAAAAAGCAAGTCAATGCACAGACTGATTTTCTGTAACTTGAAAAATCATATTTTTGGTATTATCTTTCCTAGAAGATAATGGTGGGTTTCGTTCTCGAGTCAATGTACTTGGGGCAACTTAACTCCTCTGACTCCTCAGTTTCTGTAAACTTATATTTTCTGTCTTTATCCTTCTACCTTATCTACCTTCCTTCTTCTTAAAATGCTTATAATTTCAAAGTTATCACTATTCAATGCTTTAAGACTCTTTAAAGGAAATATTAATGTAATATTAATACTATTAATGGCTTGATTTTCTCATATACATGAAGAATGGTTCCCAGGTAACTAGAGGTATAAAGTCTCTTTCATTGACAAAGTTAAAAACTTTCAAGGTCTGAGTCTCCTTGAGATTCTCTCTCTTTGCTCCTCCCCTCACATGCATTCTCTCTCTCTCAAGAAAAAAAGTTTTTTTAAATTAAAAAAAAAAAAGGTGGGGGGAGCACCTGGGTGGCTCAGTTTGGCATTCGACTCTTGGTTTTGACTCAGGTCATGATCTCAGGGTTGTGAGACTGAGCCCCGTGACTGGCTCCACACTGGACATGGAGCCTGCTTGAGATTCTCTCTCTCTGCTCCTCCCCTCACTCTCTCTCTCCCCCTCCCTCTAAAAATTAAAAAAAAAAAATTAAAAAGCCTTCCAAGTGTGATATGAACTTACGTATTTCTTCCACAACTTGTGGGTCACATTCTTTGTACTTTTCTACTTCTGCCTTTAGCTGTTCCCTTTGGTCTCGAAGTGAAGAAAGTTCTTTTGCTAGCATGGTTCGCTCTTCCTGCATTCAAAATAGTTTTATGTAGAATTAAGACAAGAAAAATACCACATGTTGTAAGGTTATATATTTTGTAAATGTTTTCATTTTATTTCTCATAACTAATGTGCACTAGGCTTTTGGACAGTATTATATATACACATACCTATATTCACAGTATAAGAACAAACTCAACTCTCATTTTCTCTGAAATCTCAAGCATCTTTCATATATTTTGACTAGTTGAATGGGAATTAATATGTAGACTGGATTGCTCATAAATAGATGATTATCAAATCATCTATTAGATGATTATCAAATGTTAGGAAAAGATACTGCCTCTTAGGTAGTTTCATAAGATTGTGTCAATATATATAATATTTTATGGCAACATCATCATTATACAATTTTCCTTAAAAGTGTGATAGGTAATTTTTCAACCTTTAAGGATGATTAGCCTTTAAAAATATTTAAAGATATCAGAAATAACAAATTCTTGCTAGTGGCCTCCTATCACTTTCCTTTAAAGGTAAACCAGAATAAAGCTTTTAAAACAAAAGGATCCAACAAACACCATTTGAAATTTCTAGCCATAGTTCTCACTAACAGGTAGAAGTCACAGTGCCATAGTTTTCAATTCGTATGTGTGAACGGTTATGGTACAGATTCATAGGATAAGCCTGAGGCAAAGCCAAGTAGAGTTTAAGTTGCCTTGATGGGACCTACTTAAGGTTCCTTGCTAGCTTATATTTTGGTGCTTGTATTTTTTGACTTTTGCCTTTAACTGTTCTCTTTTGTTCCAAAGTGAAGAAAGGCTCCTTTACTAGCATTTGTACAAGGGAATGCATATGCAGAGCAGCATGGTCTGAAGCAGCATAGTCCAACAGAACTCTACAATGATAGAAACATTCTAGATCTGTGTTCTCCAATGCAGGAAACATTAGCCACATGGACCTACTGAGTATATGATAAAAGGCTATTGTTACTGAAAAACCGAATTTAATTGCATTTACTTTAATTTAAATGTAAATAGCCACCACACATGATTACAGTGTATACTGTATTAGCACAACTCAGAAGAGATTTAAAAATAATGATAATATAAGATTGTTATTATTTGCCATCCACAGCCAAATTATACATGCTCCACAATGAAAAAAGAAAAGCAGCAAAATGGTGAAGAATCTGTGTGAAGGCAATGATAACTCTCCAGACACCCTGAACTGGGAGACATCTCAGACTGTTACTAGATCTTTGCCACGTTAATTTTTTGTGCCTTTAGTTACTCGAATTAAAAATGGAGATAGTAATAGTGGCTACCTCCTTGCACTGTTGGCAGGATTCAATGAATATAAAATGCTCTGGGATAGTATTTGCCTGGCTCATAGAGAGCGGATTATGTATGTTAGCTATTTCTTCTTCTTCATCGTCTTCAGCAGCAACACCATCACCATGAATAATGCCAAGTAAATGGGGGCTAGGTGTTTCTGAAAAATCCTGATTTGTGTGCTTAGGATGAACACAAGAGTTCATCTTTCTCAGGAGCCTTTCTAAACTACTATACTCCTCTGAGATCTGCAGCACCCACAAGGATTTTTCCCAGGTGCAATGGATCCAGGGGACTGGGTAACACTCAGCAGACAACTTTTGGGCATGAATATTAGTTGAAGGTGCACCTACAATTTATTGCCAACATTAAGGAAGAAAAAAAGGATCAAATAAAGAAATGGTAATTGCTACTGTCAATTAAAGAAATATAACAGCTTCAGATTATGCCCAGATCTTACATTCCCTTAAATATTCTTCAAAAATTACCATTCTCCAATTCTTCTCTGTGACTGCTAAGTATTCACATAAAAGAAGGTATGTGAAATAATTTTGAAGAGCCACTGTAAGCCTGTGGTGTATCCTTTTCTACAATGTGACTATTTTTGAGTCTCTTTCACAATTAAGTGGTACAAATAGAGGCCTAGATGGAATGCTTGGTGGTGCATGTAGATATTTAATATTCTTTCACGTCATAAATCCATACTTAAGATAATGATGAAACTAGAAAGTGATTTTTAAAAACCCCTAATATAATACTTCATAATACTTTTTAAAATAAAATAAGTCAGTAATCATTTAAATAATTTAGAAATATTACAAAGCCTCAAGGATAATATATTGATAGTTTTCAATTTGTTCTGTGCCAAGACTTAAAAAAACATGACTCTTAAAATTTTACATAAACATTTATAAAGGGCTTACCTTGTACCAGGTACTCTTCTGAGTGCTTTGCAAATATTAGCTAGTTTAATCCATACAATAACCTAATGAGGTAGATTTTATCCCCTATTTTTACAACTGGGATAACTGAGAACAGAGAATTTAGGAGAGTTTCAAACCCAGGCTCTCTGGCTGCAGGGTTTGTGCTTCTATGCCATGCTGCCATATACAATATAATACAATAATAAAAAATAAACCTAGATTTACAATTGGTGAATCCTACCAGGTCCAATGTTCATGTCCTTTGCTGTACTCACCTCTCTTCTGGTAGGAATGGTACACTCCTCACAGGAAGCTCTAAGTTCTTACTCTTCTATTTACAATTGACATTATTAAAGAATCTACAAACTTACCGTTTCATGTCGGCCAATTTTAGCTTTCTCAATGCTTTTCTGTAGATTTGTGTGCTTTTGGTTTCCCTCAGATAACTAGAAAATTAAAACAAATAAAATGGCTTTCTAGGACAAACTTGCTTAACATGAAGTTTATGAGTCAAGAAGTCAAAATGAGTTTGTTTTTAGCCCCAGGTCAGTGTAACAAACAAGTCAAAGACTACAATGGGAACTAACTTCTCTAATTTGAAGAAAACCAAGTACCATGAATCATGAGGGCAGAATGAAAAAAAAAAAAAAAAAAGGTTCAAAAATATTTCCTCTTATCCAGTCAGAAAAGTGAACAATATGTTTTCAATCTTTTCTGCAATCTTTATTTATCAGGTCCCCCAATTCCATGCCAAGTAACTTGAGGTATATTATTTAGTTAGAAATTGAATTTGAAAATTCAAAACAAATGTTTTACATAAATTCTTCCTTCAAATTTCATTTCACTTCTGCCTAAAGTCTTTTGAAAACACCCTGGACTGTTTCTTACAGACTTGTAGTATTATGGCCTGTTTCACTAACATAGAGTCAAAAATGAATGCATCACTTATTATTCTTAAATCAGGTACGTTATGAGGAATTACATACTTGATATACTAAATTCTTAAAGAAGAAAAAAAATCTATGAGCTGTTGCTGATTTTATGCATGTTTTACATACTTTAAAAGTGATCAGTTCAAGTATTATACTAAGCTTAGAAAGTAGTAAGTTGTATGTGGAAATGGATCAAATAATACCAGCATAAAGAGACCATAAATATAGAATATCCGTTAGCATGTGGCTGAGCCCACCCCAAAAAGGACTGGTTAATTTCAAAACATCGCTTCCCCGTCTTCTCATTTTTATTAATCGCACCTGGTCCATGACTAAATAAATATTCCCAATATTAAATTCTCTACCACATCTTTTGCTAGTTAGAAATTTCAGACTCATATGATTGGGTAAGAGTCTCCTTAAAATATATTTTACTCCTCCCTCACTCTTGAGTTACAAACATTTAGAAAATAATTAATAATTGGATGAATGATTTCTTTAAGCTGATTATAAGAAGCTGACCTTTTACAATATGACCTACTTATATGTAGAGGGTAAATAATGCTTATTATGTGTCATAGATTAAAAATCACAAACGGAATCTTCAAAAACTTAGTAGCTTTACCCTGGCTTTAGGAAATCTTCCATTTCTCAGTATGCATAAAGGAAACATTGTCAGCTTTCCTGTAATGGTTCATCTAGTCACTGATTCTAATCCATAGCATGAACAAGATCCATCTGTGATGCCAAGAAGACACCACCACCAAACCAGTTATACCTCTTCTGAGAGTAATTATCTTCCTAAGAAAAAAAAAAATCTGCTATACATTTAGGAGCCAAAATAAAGCTTTAAAGTCCTAAATTTAACAAGGAGATCTGGTTCTTTAAAACAAGGGTTTCCATTTATAAAATAACACCATGTTTAAAAAGTTAATATTCCACCCTGCAGGACTCACCTGAAATAATTAATAAATGCATGTGACATTTAAATTCAGGAATAGATAATCTTCCAGTGAAAAAATACACATACCTATTAGCATAAGATATTGCCATTAAAAATGTTCTTAAAATAACCAGATAAGTAGATGTTATCCAAATAGTTAATAATTGTACAAAAATAAGCCAATAAATAACGGATATATATCTTAATTACATTAATGAAGTGTCTTCCAGGTACTGTATGTCTGTTTGTAGTTATTTATAACTTAAAAGCATTTGAAAGAGAGCTAATTCAGGAATTCCTTAACTTTGAAAATAATATCTACTTTAAAAGTGATTTCATGGGGCGCCTGGGTGGCTCAGTCATTAAGCATCTGCCTTCGGTTCAGGTCATGATCCCAGGATCCTGGGATCGAGTCCCACATTGGGCTCCCTGCTCAGCGGGAGGCCTGCTTCTCTCTCTCCCACTCCCCCTGCTTGTGTTCCTGTTCTCGCTGTCTCTGTCATATAAATAAATAAAATCTTAAAAAAAAAAAAAAGTGATTTCATGATTTGTCATTTTAAGTATGTTGGTAATGGAGGAAGGCACAACTTAAATGATGTGATCAAATAAGAAGCTTCTGCTATCTATCCTAAGTACTGAAGCAACTTGGTTCAGCTCCATGGTGAAGGATTCTTGGTACCCTGTTCTTAAAATCTCAACTACCGGAAACAATGAAACCAACTCTTGTAAGGCAGCCCTTACTAACAGCTTTTCATCTACATATCTCTTAGAAGCAATATTGCTATAGTTCTTAACACATACCCTGGAATTAAACCAAACCCAGGCTTTCAAGTGATAAGAGCTGGTATTTTTAGCCACCATATAGATATTACCTAAACCAGTCCTCAAACTTTAGCATATATGAGAATCACCCGAAGGGCTTATTAAGACACAGGTTGCTGGGTTACAACTTCCCAGTTTCTGAATAGGAGGTCTGAAGTAGAACCTAATAATCTGCATTTTAACATGCTCCCAGGTGGTGGGTGATGCTGATGCTTCTGGTTTGGGGGCACCACATTTTTGAGAACTACTGATCTTAACAAAAACCTGTTTTGTTAAAATAACAACCCAACTACAATACACAAGATATTAATATATGGGAGAATATTATCTAGTTCATCAGCAAAAATGAATTACTGCTAAGTATTGTAGGCTGAACTAGAAAGAAAACAAAACAAAATCTTAATAATTCTGTCACTAAAAGAAATACAAAAGTCGGCATTTACAAAAATAGAAAAATGAGTGATACTCTATATTCCAGAAAGGTATTCATCATAAAATTCCTTTGAAGAACACTCTATATACATTTCCATAAGTAAGACAAGAGCCAACTATATACTATACCAAATCCATTTCCAACTTTCACTAAAAAAATTTTGTAAAACCCAGTGATTCAGAACAAACAATACCAACAACAAAAACAACTCATAATTAGTAAGAAGAGGATTTCATCTTAGATTTGAGGATATGACACAATGCCTCTCTTTAATGCATTCCAGACCACCTATACAGACACTCAGGGTTGAGAAACATAATGCCAATGTTTTCTAAAGAGCTAATTCACTGCCTGGAGGAACTGCCTATTCATAAGAAGAACAGAAAGACTGATTCAAGCTGGCTACATTGGAATTCTCATTTGCTCCTTTTAAGAAATAAAAAGATTTCAAAGCATTAGGGAAGGAATATAGAAGTTTTCATAGATGGGAAAGAATGTCAGGCAACAGGGAATGCGGAAAAGAGGTAACAGCAAGAAAAACCAGATGAGTCTACTGCTTTATCAAAATTCAAATACAGTATGTTGGGGAAAAATAGGTTCTATGTCTCGTTGCTCCTTAAAAAAAAAAAAAAGAGCAGTATCATTTACTTTAATATTTTATATATTTAAAAAATCTTGTTAGGGTACCTACAACTTTAAAATTCACTTAAGGTGATATTTCATTTAGGCATCAGTAATAAAGGAAACTGAACAGTGTAAAGACATTTATATATAAAGATGGGAGCCATGTAATTGCCTTAACAATAGAGAAATGCTAAATCAATATTTCATGGTATAAGTGTGCCACAATTATGTAGCCAAAGGAAATGTTTTGGAAGAATTTTTAATGACACTATGAAATACAGAATAGAGTTTTTTAAAAGCTGGAAACAAAACTGTCAATACATTTGAGAGTTTATGACAAAAAAATGCAAGAAAATGCACAAAATTTTAAAAATGATTACCTCTGTATTGTGGAACATACTATTAAACTTTCTATATAATAAGCATAGGCCACCATTATTTAGAAAATTATTTTCCCATTATAAGCAATATTTGAATGTATTCTCAAGAAATGATTTTTATTTTAAAAGACTCAAACAATGCAGAAGCATTTAAACAAAGTGACTTTTTGCTCCCCACTTCTGCACCATCCCCAGAATCCCCTCTCCACAGGTGACCCCTGTAAAGTCTAGTGGGCATCCTTCTTGTCCCATTCCTTTGCTTTATTTTCAGATATAGGTCAATATAAAGAATATTTCAAACACATATAGGTTTATATTTTGTTATGTTCTGTAACTTGCTGTTTTTAGTGAAATTTCCATGTCAACATATATACATAGGTCTACTTAATTTTTTTTAAAGATTTTATTTATTCATTTGAGAAAAAGAGCACACACATGAGCGGGGAGGGACAGAGGAACAAGCAGAAACCCCGCTGAGCGCGGAGCCCAAAGCGGGGCTCCATCCCAGGACCCCCCGAGATCATGACCCCTGCCAAAGTCAGATGCTTAGCTGAATGAGCCACCCAGGCATCCCTACTTCATTTTTTTTTTTTTATTTTAGAGAGCGAGCACGTGCACACAAGCGGGGGGAGGGGCAGAGGGAGGGAGAGAGAGATTCTCAAGCAAACTTCTTGAGTTTGAGCACAGACCCCCACGCAGGGCTCAATCCCATGACCCTGAGATCATGACCTGAGCCAAAATCAAGAGTCAGATGCTTAACCAACTGAGCCACCCGGGTGCTCCTAATTTTTTTTAATAGATTTTTTCAGAGCACTTTTAGGTTCATAGCAAAATTGGATGGAAGGCACAGGGGGTTACTTGGAAACCGCCCCACAGACACAAGAACCAGTTTCATTTTCAAATGAAACCCCCCATTTTTAACCTCCCCCAGAGTGGTCCATTGAACCTTCATTGACACATCATTATCACCCAAAGTCCATTGTTTACATTAAGACTCACTCTTTGTGTTGTACATTCTACGGTTGTGACAAATGCATAATGATATGTATTCATCAGTATGGTATCATACAGAGTATTTTCACTATCCTTCACATCTTCTGTGCTCTGCCTATTTATCCCTGCCTCCTGCCAACCTCTGGCAACCAGTGATCCTTTTAATGTCTATATAGTTTTGTCTTTCCAGAATGTCATGTAGTTGGATTCACACATTATGTAATCTTTTTAGATAGGCTTCTTTCATTTAGTAATATGCATTTAGGCTCCTCCATGTCTTTTCATGGCTTGATACTTCATTTCTTTTAATCACTGAGTG